TAGAATAATTTGAAGCCTCCCCAGATTTCTCTGTGCACAGATGCACAGTGGGGTATTAGGCTCAGCATAGGCTGGAAGAGAATCAGAACACAGAGTGGCTTCTCTGCCAACCAAACTCACTTGCAAGCTTACCCCCTAGGCAAAGTTCAGACACTTGAGACAGACAATAGGATAGAGTAAATACAGGTGGAGTGAGCTGGATGACAATTTTCACCCTGAAAATGTATTGCCAACTTAGCAGGTATTCATGAAGAACCTCCAATTTATGTTCATTCATTGATTCAGTGTTTCACTTATATTTATTGAGGATCTATATTGCTCAATGGGCCAGGTCCATGGAATAGATGCTGGAGATTCAGCCCTTCACAAAATAGATAAAATTTATTGCCCTTATGTTCATCTCTAGTGGGAGAAGATTGACAATAATGAAGTAAATATATAATGCATTATATGGTGGTAAATGCTATAAAGAAAAACAAGCCAGAAAGGCAGTATCATTTGCTAGATCTGCCATCACAAAGAACTACAGACTGTACGGCCTGAACAACAGAAACTGATTGTCTCGCAGTTCTGGAAGGTTGAAGACCCAGATCTAGGTGTCAGCAGGGTTGTTTTTTCTGAGGCCTCTCTCCCTGGTTTGTGGATGGCCATCTTCCCCGTCTGTACACGGTTGTTCCTCTCTGTGCGTCTGTGTCCTAACCTCCACTTCACCAATCATATTGGATTAGGGCCCATTCATATGATCTTATTTTGCCTTAATTGTCTCTTTAAAGGCCCTGTCTCCAAATACAGTCACATTCTAAGGTACTGAGGGTTGGGACTTCAACATATGAATTTAGGGGGAGACACAATCTAACCCATGACAGGAGGAGAAGGAGTGCAAGAGGACTGGATGTGACAATTTTGTTTAATTTTTATTTTGATAATGTTTATTTTGGGGGTTATTTTTAAATTTTTATTATGAAATTTTTCAAACATGCTCAAATATAGAAAAATAAACAAACAAAAACCCATGCACCAATCACCAGCTTCAACAACCAACACATTTTGTCGTATTTATTTAGTCTACCTCTACCCCAAACTTTTTTTTTTTTTTTTTTTGGTTGTTGTTTTGTCACTGGAGTATTTGAAAGAGATTCAAGAATCATGTCATTTCATTCCTAAAAACTTTGACACAAATCTCCAAAAAAGTATATTTTCCTAACTATAATGCCATTATCCCATCTACCAAAATTAATAAAAATTCTTCAACATTTGTCTAATACCAGACCACAGTGTGATGGTTACAAATGGAGAGATCCCCTAACCCTGATCCTAACCTTAATCCTAACCCTCACCCTCAAAACTCATGTTGAAGCTTAATCCCCAATGTGGCAGGGTAGAGAGGTGGGGCCTTTCGGAGGTGATTGGATCATGAGGGCTCTTTCTTCATGAATGGATTATTCCATTCATGGATTAATGGGTTAATGGATTAATGTGTTATTATGGGAGTGGAACGGGTGGCTTTATAAGAAGAGAAAAGGAGACCTGAGCTAATGTGTCAGCAAACTCTTGGTCTCTCAACATGTGATGCCCTGCACCACCTCAGGACTCTGCAGAGAGTTCCCACCAGGAAGAAAGCCCTCGCCAGATGCATTCCCTTGACCTTGGACTTCCTAGCTTCCAAAACTGTTGTAAGCAAAAGAAAACACACTAAGACCAGCATACATCTCTGTTGCTTATAACAAAATACCTGAAACTGTGTAATTTATAAAGAAATAAAATTTATCTCTTACAGTTTCAGAGGCTGGGAAGTCCAAAGTCCCAGGAACACATCTGTTGATGGCTTGATGGTAGTGGCTGTACAGCAACACACGGTATCACATGGCAAATATGGCAGGAGCAAAAGAGAGAGCTAAGTTTCTCAGTTCCTCCCTTTTTAAGGCCATCAGAACCACTCCCATTACTGAATGATCAATCTATTCACAAGGACAAAGTCTTCACAATCTAATCACCTCTTTAAGGCCCCACCTTTCAATTACCACAATAGGATTTCCCACCTTCATAACACTGTCACAGTGGGGATTAAGTTTCAGTGAGTTTGGGGAGACATTCAATCCACAGCAGACACACAGTTAAATTTTCTCAGTTATCAAAATTATTTTTACAAGGCCGGCCCGTGGCTCACTCGGTAGAGTGCGGTGCTGATAACACCAAGGCCACGGGTTTGGATCCTATATAGGGATGGCCGGTTTGCTCACTGGCTGAGCGTGGTGCTGACAACACCAGGCCAAGGGTTGAGATCCCCTTACCGGTCATCCTTTAAAAAAAAAAAAAATTATTTTTACAATTGTTTGCACAAATCAGGATCCAAGCAGTTCATTCATTGTGTTTGACTGTTACATCTCTTAAGACTTCTCTAAATCTCTCTTAATCTAGAAGAGTCCTCCCTGCATTATTTTTTCTTACTCATGGACTTGGAGAAACCAAGTCAGTTTCTCTAAAATGTCCCCCATCCTAGCTTTCACTGATTTCTTTCTTGTGATGTCATTTAACATGCACCTCTCCCCCCTATAGTTTCTATAGACCAGAAGTTAGAATTAATGGTTTGACTTGATTTGGGTTCAATTTTTTTTTAGGGACACTTCATTAATGCTACTGTTTACTTCATTTTGCATCATATATGGAGGCACATAATGCCTGGGTGCATTTTTATTCATTCTAAGATTGATAAGCAGTTTCAGGTGGTGATAGCCTGATCTATCCATTGTAAAATTCCTCATCAACAAGACCATAATGTCCTCGATCTGTAACCACTACCTGTGTCCGTTTTTTCATTATGTAATTTTCTAATTCTGTCAGTTCCTCCATAATTATAATTTTGATATAGAATAACTTTCTTTTATCCACTAGGGCTGTTTAGTTACTCTGAAATTTGGTTCATAGTGAAAAGGTAGGATATACTGTAGGGGTATTTTTTGATATTCCAAGAAATCAATGTTTTAATTGATTTTCATTTAGAATGCATCAGAGGAGCTGGATTTCGAAAGGATATCTACATTAAATTTTTGTTAAATGAGCAAATAAACCTTTTTCATTCACTTAATCCCCAAGTTATCATCTTTGAAAGCCTAGAGATACGATAGTGGTTTTCTATAAGAGAAGCACAGAGTTTTCAAACAAGAAAATCCTGGATAAATACCAACCAATTTACTAATAGAATGACCCATGGAAAAATCTAGCATAGTGGTTCCTGATCTTTTTTTTACATGACAAATGACACCCAACACCTACAAAGGGTTGACAATGTAGTAACACTGATTATGTGCCAGGTACTGTGCTAAGGGCTCCACACACAAGCCCAGTTAGTCCTCACCACAACCCTTGGAGATAGGGACTCTTTTATTCCCCTTTCCACAGATGAAACTGAGGTAAAGATGGTAAAGTTAGTTGCCCATGATCACACAGTTAGCAACTGGTGGAGCCAGGAGTAAAGCCCAGACAGTGTGGCTTCAGTGTTTGTACCGAGAACACCACACTACAGCACCGCTGGCAAATGCTGATGATTATGTGTTATTCCCAGAGAGCCATAACTAACATTTTCTCTCCTTTTCAGAGAGCAACTTTAAATCTGTTCTAATTCAATTATTTTGTTAAAAGATATAAATCGATGGAAAATGTTTACTCTTTCATCAGTAAAGACTTTGTTGCAACATACATTACATTGATTGTGACAGACCGATGGAGACTCTGATTTAAGGAAAGTCAGGAAGGATGGTTACTCCTAACCAGCTAGTGCCATTCAATTCCGGGTGGGTTTGGGGGCACCTCCAGAGTAAATCGCATTGCGTAATAATTTATACAGGGCTTACAATGTGCTAGACCGTGATCCAAGCTCTTTAAACATATTGACTCTGCCACCTACTTAAACAGCCTTTTTCCCAGCCAGACCCAAGTCCAAAACTTTACCCATGAGAATGCCCCTAAGAGATCCTGGAGGGTCCAGGCAAGAAGGATGGATTTATCCCAGTTTTTTGAAGGGCCTGTCTACCTGGCCTGGCCCTGCCTTGTAGAAGTCGATTCCAAACTACACAGTCTCAAGGGCCTCTTGGTGAGCTGAGGTGGCCTCCAAGAAGGAGCCAGTGTCATTACCCCTTCCTGGAGCCATTTGCCCTCTCCTCCCCACGCAGGAGGGCACTCTCTGGTGCACTTAATAATAGGCTGCTTCTGAGCAGCAGACTGCATACTGCTCCATCCTCCGTGACATGAGTCAAAGCACACAAAATCCTGGAGACAAAGCTGACAGGCGTAGCTGATTCTGACTCGGCAGCTTCCGTGTCTGTGTCGGCTTGTCTTTCCCTATTTAGGAATCGTCATGGCTCCAGCCTTCCTCTAAGCAGTACAGTGAACATCCACCTGTGACTCAAGCCAGATACTTGTTGTTACCTAAACTGCACCTTGCCCAGGCTCTCCTGGGGTCCCTGAGTCATCACCGGCACACAAGCGGGATGCCAGCTCCAGCTGACAAGACCCTGTCCCTGGCTTCTTGCCGAGGCTGCTCTTGGCCTGCGTTCATTAGCACCCTGCACCCCACCCGCTCCTCTGCCCTCGCCCACTCCGGCAGGCTGGAGTCGAGGGGGAGCGTTCAGGAGCTGTGAAAAACGAGCAAAGCTTGGAGAAAGGAAAAGGTGCAGCCTGGAGGCCCTTCACGCCGATTGCAGGGCAGCCCCTGCGATGGGAGCAAAAGAGAAAGAGCGATTTATGCGCTGCAGGAGCCAGCGGCCCTGGCATGCGGAGGGGCCGTCTAGGGGGAAGCGCGCTGGGCGGCGGGGAGTGGGCTCCGGGGAGAAGCCGCCCCCGGCCGCGCCCGCTCAGTGCTCGCTCCCGGGGCCGTCGCCAGGGACAAGACGGGGGGGTTAGCTGTCGCCAGAGACACACCACGTCTATCCACCCGCGGGTGCTTCCGAACGTTTGCGGAAAGACAGAAGTTAAAGAAAATCCCAATCTGTCCGTGAACGTTTTGAAGACCCCTCCTATGTGTGACGGCCACGTGAGCCGACCTCTCTCCCCTCGCAGGCCGCGTCCGCACTGGCTCGGGTGCCGGGGCTGGTGGCAGTGTGGCCGGCGGTCCCTGCGTCCCCGGCTGACGGCGCTGCGCGGCCTCCTCCCGCTGGTGAGGAGAGACGTGGGCGACCAGGTGGCCGCGAAGGCGCAGGCACTTTCTTCTGTGGCCTGTGAGTAACACAGCGGCTCTTCCTGCCTGCGGGGAACTTGCAGCCCTGGGTCACCTCCGCTGTCCAGCCAGGTAAAACAGCAGAGTGCAGTGCGTAAGCCCTTCGCTTGTGCAAAACCGCTCATTCTCTTTTGTCTGTTAGAAACCAGGTCCATCAAACATTCACGAAGCCTCTGCGTCAAAGTGAGGGGCTCAGCCCTCTCTGGAGGAGCTCGGCCGGTTCAGGACCCTCATCCCACCCTCCCGCTGGGTGCAGGCCTTACCCGCAACTCTGCGGGGCTAGCAGGGGGTCGGCCTTAACCACTGAGGCGCCTGGCAAACTTCCATAGATGGGCACCATTTCATCCCGCCCACCCCCATCCCCACCCCCATTCTAGGAGCAAAGAAGGGTTTTATTACAAAATTTATTTGAAAGAAAACCCTCTCAAGCATTTTTTTTAAATCTTGCAAATATTTCAAGAATGTCTGTGCTGTTAAGACTGTGAAGAATGTCTGCTTCAGCATCTATCAGCATCATTAAAAAAAGAAATCAATCTCGGATGTGGGGAATGTGAAAAGCAGAGCGTATTAAGGAAAAGGAGGGCTTTTCTTTCTGTAATAAACAACGCTGGAGTGTGCATGTTCATATCATGTTGCATTAGAGCATGCTTCTGGCACCAGTCCGTTCCGCCCACACCCTCTCTTCTCTGCTTGCTTCAAAGCGGCTGTCAAGATGGGACTGTTCATTTAGTTGAGCTGAGATGTGTAAAAATTGACTTTAAAGAAAGAAAACATTGCCGATGAGAAAGTTACATGAGCATTATCTTTAAGCCAGCTGATTACTCACAAACTGTGGTCATTGTCAAGTACTAGGTATTGACAGAAAATCTAGTGTATCCTAGGGTATGGTGTCAAGGACCTTATTATTATGTTTGTTATGCTTATGCTGTATCCACAAGCCCAGCACAGTTCCTGCCACTCAGGAACTCAGGCACTCAGGAGATGTCTGAGGCTGAAGGAGAAATGCTATGCAAAAAACAGAGGGTAAGGCAGCAGGCAGTGCATCTCAGAGGGCCTTGCCTGCTTTTCTCTGCAGGTAACATCAGGCCCCCAAAAGACTGAATATTTAAACATAAATTGAGGATAAAAATGGAGCAGTGAAGATTTGGGGCACAGTGAGTCCTAATAACTCTCAGGCCTGTTCTGTAGAACCCCCCCTGGAGTCAGTGTCCTCTCATTGTGCGGGGGCCCTGCCTAAGGCTGGATTCTGTAGAACAGAAGAACTGGAGTCAGGGATTCTTGTGCAAGTGGTTTATCAGACAGTGTACCAGCACAAGGCAAGTGAAGGAAGCAGAATTGGGCGGGGGGAAAGTAGCAAGGATGTGGCCTCCCGGAGAGAGTCAGGGGGCAGAGATTACACCACCAGGCTGACCCCCTCTTGAGGCAAGTCATGGAATCTTTGGAGGTGGAAAGGCGGGAGCCAGAGGGGAATAAAGTTTTGGGGGATATACTAGCCGTAAAGGAGATCTGAGTGGCACACCAACAGCATCTACTACATTCCATAGGACCACTTTACAAGGCAGTTGGACCTACCTGTCAGGCCTTTAACAGATATATAAGTTGATTTTGGTGGGTGCATATAATTTAGGAGAAATCAACAGCCCATCCCGACTCCCCTACCTTACTCTATTTTTTTCCTACTACACTCATCACCTTCTAATGTGCTATACAATTCGCCTATTTTTATGTTAATTAATAGTTTACTTATTATTGCTACTCCCACACACATGTAAGCTCCATGAGGACAGACATTTTTCTCTCTTTTGACTGGCGTATCTGACATGTAGAAAGTACTGAGTAAATATCTGTTGAATGAAAGAGTATTCTGAAGAACATATTCTGCCTGGTTGTTGCACAGGGATTTTTGCAATAATTCTTTGGGTCCAAAGCACTGAAACTGTGACGTACATGAGAAAACATGTAGCTATAACATGTTCATGGGGGTATCACAGAGCCCTGTGATTCTCAGATTTCAGTTTGTTGAAGAATCACCTGGGGAGCTTGTTTAAAATGCAATCTTTGGTTCCTATCCCCAGAACTCGGATTCAGGAGTTCTGGAAGGAACCCAAGAATATGCACTTTAAAAAAGCATAACTGTTTATTTTGATGTAGGTGACCTAAGGTGCATACTTTGAGAAACACTGCTAGAGCCAGCAACAGTGGCTCAGTGACAAATAGCTGCCCCAGCCCACCCAGCTGATCAGCCTGCTGGAGCTAGATCAGTGCACTGTGTTTTCCACTCAAGTCTCTCTTCATATATGTTTTTAAGCTTTGCACGTACACTGGTTACCATGGGAACATAAAAGGCTGATGAAATCCTACACTGATAGCTGGGCTTTGAGATGTTGGTTGACAGCTATCTCTAGAAAAATTTGGCTTCACAATTTATTATGGCTTGTATTGCCCCTGTTTTCCTGAAGATTCTTTGAAAATTGCAAATATGTTTTTGTGATGTGCTGATGTCATAATCGTTTGTCAGGAGGGAACACAGTGTGAACCAGGAACTGGGGCAAGAATGCACAAACTGATGTGGGTGTTGTGCTGAAAAGATGTGGGGAAGTTGCATGGAAAAACTCTGCAATAAAGAAGAGTGATTTAATGCCTGATGAAGGGTTTGGGGGCAGCAGCCCAAAAGAAGTATGTTAACTGATTAGAACTCAGTAAGATTTAAAAAAAAAAAAAAAGTTGTTGTGAGGAGGGATTTCTCTAAACCTAAATGAATAAATTTAGAAAATTTCATTCACTATAAATCCTCTGGTTTAGAGCAGACTATCCTTAGAAGAAGTATGCTGGGGGTGGGGGTTAGATGCTTAAAGGTGGCTGATAAGCTATTTCCTAAAATTAAATCCTTAAAATAAGAACTATGTTACCATATATGGCACATAAAATGTGCCAGACCCTGCTTTAAGTTTTGTATATTATGTCATTTGAGTTTTATAACAATGCTCTAAGGTAGATACTATTATCCTATTTTACAGATAAGAGAAAGGTTAAGTCAGTTCCCTAAATTCATATAGCTACTAAGTATTTGAGCTAGAATTTGATCCAGGTAATCTGGGTCCAGAACTTTTGCTTTTAACCAGGCACCATCCTCCAGTGCACCTGACATGGAACAGGCAGGACTTTGTCTTCCTGAGCATTGCCAGGAGGGCTGATGAACTGTTTGCAGATGGAAGCTGGAACAAAATTGAGTTGCTTGGCATGTTTGGTGGGAGGTGGGTGTCAGGGAGAGGGGGAAGAAGCACTGAAAAAGGCCTTGGGAGACAAATATCCAAGTCATTACTCGAGTTATATGACCTAAATTTTCTGGAGTAATATACAGAAAGTCTCTTGTGCTTATTATTGTGTTTGTCAAATGGATTATTTTCTGGGGGGAGGAGCTCAAGGCAGAGAAAGAGGAGATGGTTGACATCTGGTTCCACAGAGGAGAGAAGGTACTGGCTTGAAGAGTGTGGAGAGTCTCTCTTGACCATTGTCTTGAGTCATGTGCCCCAAGCCAGGATTCACTAAGCAAGGGACCCAAGCAGAGAAGAGCAACAGGACTGGGGAAGAATGCAGTTTAGATCCCAAACCCTTGTGGGCTGTGGCTAGAAAGCTTCAGAAGGAATCGCATTGCCTTGGCAATGGAGGCTGCCAGGAGAAGAAGACAGCTTGAGAGAGTGAACTGAGGAGACCAGGAACTGAAGCCAGAGCTGGGAACTAAAGTTTGGACCCAATCTCAAACCAGGGAGCAGAGAACATTCTTTTCATATATTTGCCATTAGGTAGAGGCCCTGTGAGTAGGGATTTCTCCAGAACTCATCCTACATGGAGAGAAGCTAGAGGTGGAAAGGAAAGAGGACCTCTGGAAAGAGCAGTGGGTCTGACTCAGGCTGGTGCAAAACTCCTGCCTGACCCCTGACCCTCTTTTCCTCCTTTCCTCCTCCTCTTCCTCTCCTCTTCTTTCTCTAGTTCGGCCATTTCCTGTCTTTCTCCTCTGTGCTCAGCCAAGGTGGGATGAAGGCAAATGAGATTAAGTTATGAAGAATCGTCTGTAGACTTAGCCCTTAACCCAGGAAGTATACTTGCATCTCAAGTAAAGTGCAATTTGTTAGCCCTAAAGAATTCTTAATAGTGAATTTCTAACAGGTGATTGTGGGTATATGGGTTTACAAGGTGGGGCAGGCAATGGTAGTGGATATTTGTGGGTGAGACATCTACTGCTCCTTCCTTACTCAGGAAATTCTATGCAACACACACACACACACACACACACCCCACACACACACACTCCCTTCATCCTCTTCACAAGCACACCTACAATGCAGTTGGGACAATCCTTCAGGGAAGTCTGCCTGGGCTGAGTCTGAACGAGGAAGAAAGTTAGCCGGGTGAGGAAGGTGCTGCAGGAAGAATTCCTTGTACCTGTTAAAGGCAGAAGGGAAGGAGGCCACTGCTGCAGGTGCAGTAACATTAGCATCTCATAGTCCCCTATGGGGTCCTTCCTATGAAGGCCTTTGCTAAGTACTAGTACTTCAGCATAGTCTGATACCAGTATTCTCTAATGTACTAGCAGCAGTATGTCCTTGGAAGATTCGCTCAGTGTAACCAGGCTCTCTCCACTTCCCAGCTACTCTCTCCCCACGCATGTCCACAGGCTAATGCTACTATGGCCTCTTTGGCACCGGCAGGCTAGCAAGGTCTAGGGATATTTGGGTTACACAGCAAAAATAGAAAAATAAATGTTTTTACCTTACTATTTTACAGTCAAAGCATGTTCTCTGATGTTTTTTTTTGTCTGTGCATAACTAATACCTCAGTGAAACAGACACAGCTTGGTGAGCAGTCACCTCCCTGCCCTCAACCCCACCCTTGTGTTTACTGATAGAATCCCCTCTGATCCGGGAGCCTCAGCACCCAGCTGGCTTGCCACATTCACATGTGTATGTCACATGTCATCACTGCAGTTCATTGCTTATAACCATCTGCCACTTAACAGTGAGCAGGTAACTACAGATCCAACAATGGTTGTACTTTGGGCACAAATAACATGA